GGCTAGGCAATCCAGCAGAGCATTCCTAAATATAGTGTAAAAATGCTCTGCTGGCAAGCCCAGCTGGCTAAGCAATCTAGCAGAGCGTTCCAAAATATAGTGCGAAAAATGCTCTGCTGGTATGCTCAGCTAGCTAAGCAATCTAGCAGGGCATTCCTAAAGTGACATTATTCTCATATTTTCATGGTCAAGTTGAGCTGAATTAACTTTATATTTCAAAAGACTGACTGTCAAAATGGTGATTGACCAATAGTTGATATTGGAAAATGTTTAGGGTAAAATTATAAATCTGTCTGAAATTTGAAAAGACTGTCCCACTCTTTTTATGAACTAAGCTTTATAGGTAAATTCTTATGGATATTTTCAGGAATTTTGTGTGGATCTGTGAGTTATTCATTGTTTTTGCGAACTTCATTATGAAATTGAAAGGAATCATGGCAAAATGAAACCTTATTTTGACTTTCACCCATTCACTCACTATATGCCTTTGGATGGGCATTATGTCACTTAAATATAGTGTTAAAAATGCTCAGAAGGCTAGGCAATCCAGCAAAGCATTCTGAAAATTAGTGTAAAAATGTTCTGCCGGAATGCTGAGCTGTTTAGGCAAACTAGCAGGGCATTCTTAAATAAAGTATAAATTTCGTTGGTCTGCAACTGATTATTTGGCACTCGTAGACTTTCTGAAATATTTAGTGCCAATGCAGATAATGACATTTTTGACTTCTACGGGACCCTCAAGTGTCTATTTCTTTGGTCTCCGACTGATTCTGGGACGATCGCAGACTTTCAGGAATTTTTGGTGTTAATGCAGATAATGACATTTGTGAATTTTTAGGACCATCCAGAGTCCATTTCGTTGGTCCGCGAATGTTTCTGGAACACTCGCAGACTTTCAAAAATTTTCGGTGCCAATGGAGATAATGACATTTTTACTTCAAAAGGACCCTCCCGAGTCTATTTCGTTGGTTTGCGACTGATTCTGAGTCACTCACAGACTTTCAGGACTTTTGGTGTCAATGCAGAAAATGATATTTCTGACTTATTGGGACCTTTCTGAATCCATTTTTTTGGTCTGCGACTGATTCTGAGGCACTCACAGACTTTCAGGAATTTTTGATGTCAAGGCAGATAATGACATTTTTTACTTCTAGGGACCATCCAGGGTCCATTTTTTTGGTCTGCGACTTAATCTTGGACAGTCACAGACTTTCAGGAATTGTTGGTGCCAATAGAGATAATTACAATTTATGACATTTTTGACCATCCAGAGTCTTTTTCGTTGGTCTGCGACTGATTATAGGGCACTTGCAGACTTTCAGGAATTTCTGGTGCTAATGCGGATAATGACATTTTAGGGTAAAAATGCTCTGCTTATGATTAAGGGGTCCTTAAAAGTAAAAAAGTCATGATCTGCAATGGCACTTAACATCCTGAAAGTCTGCGAGTCTCAAGGAATCAGTCGCAGACCCAAGAAATGTACTCTGGCGGTTCTCTAAAAGTCAGAAATGTCATTATCTCCATTGGCATCAAAATTCCTGAAAGTCTGCAAGTGTCCCAAAATCAGTCGCAGACCAGCGAAATGAACTCTGGGGGGTCGCTAGAAGTCAAAAATGTCATTATCTCCATTGGCACCAGAGATTCCTGAAAGTCTGCGAATGTCCCAGATTCAGTTGCAGACCATAAAAATGAACTCTGGCGGGTCCCTTGAAGTAAAAATTGCCATCATCTCTATTGGCACCAAACTTTCCTGAAAGTCTGCGAGTGTCCAACAATACGCTGCAGGCCAATGAAATGGACTCTTAAAGGTTCCTAGAAGTCAAAAATATGAATATTTCCATTGGCACCAACCAGTTCTGAAAGTCTGCGAGTGTCCAAGAATCAGTCGCAGACGACCAAAATGGACTCTTGAGGGTCCCTAGAAGTCTTAATTGTCAATATCAGCATTAGCACCAAAATTCCTGAAAGTCTGCGAGTGTCCTTCAAAAAATCGCAGGACAATGAAATAATCTCTTAAAGGTCCTTAGAAGTCAAAAATATCATTATTTCTATTTGCACCGAAAATTCCTGAAAGTCTGCGAGTGCCTCAGAATTGCCTAGAAGTCGAAAATGTCAATAAAACTTTGGCAACAATAAATCCTGGAACTCAGAATCAGTCTGCCAACTGAGCATTCCACCAGAGCATTTACTAACTATATTTCGAAATGCCTTGCAAGATTGCCTAGCCAGCTTAGCATTCCACCAGAGCATTTTACACCATATTTAGTAATGCCCTGCTAGATTGCTTAGCCAGCTGAGCATTCAACCAGAGCATTTTTTCACTATATTAAGGAATGCTCTGCTAGATTGCCTAGCAGCTTAGCATTCCGCCAGAGCATTTTTACACTATATTTAGGAATGCCCTGCTAGATTGCCTAGCCGGCTTAGCATTCCAGCAGAGCATTTTTACACTATATTTAGTAATGCCCTGCTAGTTTTCCAAGCCAGCTTAGCATTCAAGCTGAGCATTTAAACACTATATTTAGTAATGCCCTGCTAGATTGCCTAGCCAGCTTAGCATTCCAGAAAAGCATTTGTTCAATATATTTAGTAATGCTCTGCTAGATTGCTTAGCCAGCTTAGCATTCCAGCAGAGCATTTTTACACTGTATTTAGTAATGTCCTGCTAGATTGCCTACCCAGCTTAGCATTCCAGCAGAGCATTTTTACACTATATTTAGTAATTCTCTGCTAGATTGCCTAGCCAGCTAAGCATTCCAGCAGAGCATTTTTTAACTATATTTAGGAATGCCCTGCTAGATTGCCTAGCCAGCTTAGCTAGCCAGCTGAGCATTCCAGCAGAGCATTTTAACACTATATTTAGTAATGCACTGCTAGATTGCCTAGCCAGCTGAGCGTTCCAGCAGAGCATTTTTTCACTAAAGCTAGGAATGCTCTGCTAGATTGCCAAGACAGCTGAGTATTGCAGCAGAGCATTATTACACTATATTTAGGAATGCCCTGCTAGATGCCCAAAACAGCTGAGCATTACAGCAGATCATTACTTCCCTATATAAATTGAAATGCCTTTTTGCTTAGCTCACTATTCACTGCTAACTTCTCACATACATTCAAATTTTACAGTTATTATCAATACAATGTACAAGTCTAAATATAATACAGTATATAAACCGAATATGGATTATCTGTTATCTGATCCGAAATGAAACAGATCATACGAGTGCGAATTATATCACTTGGACTCGATCTGCCATTTTGGGGGCATGATATCAAATACCATTGTATTCCGTTAATATGATGCATAAGAGTAATATAACGTCGGCACGAATAAAAAGTTTTAATGCGCGAATAAAGAAATCAAAAATCTATTCTCATTATTTCCAATTCTTTTGTCATGTGCTAACAACTTTGCCATATAATGATAATAAAAGATTACAATATTTGCTATATATAATATGCATGTATATAATCATGTATAATTAGGAAATATCATTAACTGTTAAGTTAAAGCTAAAAGAATAAAATGTGAAATATAGCAATTTTTTTTCTCATAACGTGTAGTTACATATATTTTAAAGTATTGGTGAAAACTTGAAAGTGCTAGTTTTCATTTAAAATCAAATTGCACAGATGTTGTCAGCCAACAGCCCAAAGGACTTAGAATAACGGTGAATTTAGCGGAGACTAACATTTGCTCAAAACTGCCTCAGGCAAAATCAAAAAAGATTTCGAGCTTCACTCCAAATCATAAACATTATCTCTTCCGATCAGTGTTGTGAACGTTATTTTAGATTAAGACATTCCATGCAACTCTTATGCACATGTACCTTTGAAAAGACAAAAACTGCAAAACGCCGATTAAAGCAAGAAAATGATATAAACCAAAGTGTGTGTTTTGCACTGCTCAATTCGTTTTTAAATTAGTTATGTAAAACGAAAATAAGATTGGATTATATGATTGGTATCGGTATGATTATGTGTGCTGCTATTCAACTCATTATTATTTCTGATGTCATTAGTAATGTTGTATGGCCATGAACTTTCTCTCAACCGGAATCAGTCAGATAAAGCATTTTCTGAACACTTTTCAGCTTGAATTTCACGGCATTTTATCATGTATTTACATATAAATAATCGTTACAAAATTAATTTTTACAACGCTACATATATTTTATGGCATTGTTCATTTTTTAGTGTGGAGAAACCATTCTTCATATTTTTCTGTTTTTTAAACAAAATGTACAAACAGAATATCTTACAGTGGAATCAATGGGTTTGATGGCATATCTTGAACTACACTTGTTGCATGGGTGAAATCAGTTGTTTAACTCATTACTGCATGAGCATTACGTGAAAAAAAGGCCGTTTTCATTGAAAAGTCTCCCGTTACAAGTTCAAATTGTTATAAAACTAAAAAAACTGATTCAATACTAATCAAACTTGACACAAATGTTGACTGGACCATTGCCTGCCTTTGTAACAACTTGTTCAGTCCTAAATTTCCTGTAACCATGGCAACGAAGGGACATCTCAAAATTGCCACAATCACTATTTTGGGTTGATTTTTTCCATCAAAATTGATTTCGAAGTGCTGCAACTTCTCAATGGTTTCAGATAGGTCAAAGGCTTTTCAGTGTTGGTTACACGTTACCCTATGATCAACCTGAGGTTACTTTTAGCCTCTCACAAGTCCAAAATTTTCTTGGCGATGAGGGGGACTGCCACCCTCTTCAAACCCCCTAATTATAAGGGGCCAGCCCCCTTCTGGCAACCCCGTGATGTACCTTATTGGTGGGATCGGCGCCGAAAAAGTGATCACTTTTTTGATCAACATTTATCAAGCGAAAACATGTGTTAAGGGCCCAAACAGGACGTTTTTTCACTATTTGAGGCCTAAAAGAGGGGGGGTGGGGGAAGTTTCGAAAGTGCGTTATTTCGCGTATATAGGAGGTAGAGAATTTGCTATGTGGTAAATCGTAGGAAATAAACAATTTACTTACGTGTTCCAAATCCCTTAGCCTCTGAAATAATTAAAACAAAGTATTAGATGTCGGAAATCTGCATGAATCTCAAAAATATATATAATTTAAATCTAAAATACATATAAATGATCATTAAGTTTGAAGTACCTATTAATAACGAAAATGACTTTAATTTGAACGTTGTTTAAATACTTAAAGTATAATAAGAATAACACTAGATTCACAAAAAGCGAAAAATGTCTAACAATGTCGATTAATATGTAAAATGAAATATCATGAGTTGTATTACATAAATAGGCAAAAATAGAAAATCATACGAGAAGGTAAGCATTATTTTATTATGAAATGAATATTAAATTTGAAAGTGTTGTTGTAAAATTACGTACGAATGTCAAAGTTCAGATGTAAGATTCTTCCATGACGATAGGAAGACCAGAATGATTAATAACACAACATAATTCATCATTATTTACGAAAACAACAAAACTTTGACGAGAATACTAGATATATAATTAAGCGGATTGGGAATTTCATGATGCCGTTTTATTTAATAACGTCATATCTCTTTGTTTGTTGTGTTAACGTTAATTTAGCCGCGCCATGACAAAACCAACATAATGGGTTTGCTACCAGCATGGATCCAGACCAGCCTGTGCATCCGCGCAGTTTGATCAGGATCCATGCTGTTCGCTTTCAGTTTCTCTACTTGTTAAACCGTTTGTAGCATTGATCCTGATCAGACTGCGCGGATGCGCAGGCTGGTCTGGATCCATGCTGGTCGCAATTCCACTATTTTGGTTTTGTCGTGACGCGGCTCAATTATTGTTCTATGGATAAGCATGTGGCAAAATAATTCTCATATTATTTTTGTATCGTAAAAAATAAGTCATTTCAATATTAATTTAACAGGCCATAGGCATATATTTTTAAAAAGTTCTAAAATCAAGCGATAAAATGTCGCACACTTTACCCTAACGCATAATAGGTCTTTGTGATTTACTTAGCTTCAGGCTTTCATATGTATTAATTTCTGAATACTTTTAGCAATTTTTGTTGGCGATGCATATTTAACTTCATATTGCAATGCTGTCTACCAGAATCAATTAGGTTCGATCTAACTGACTAATTACAAAACTGACTAATTACATTGTTTATGTACAAAAATAGTTCTATCAAACCTGGTTCAATGCCGCAATAGTTCTTTTCTTGGAGATAGTTTAATTCCTTTGGGCAAGGTCTAGAATTTTTCTGTAAAATTAATGATTGATAGTTACTCAACAACTGTACATATGCTGTTTTTTAAGTTTGAATATATATGTATCGTAACTTTATATATACTGTAAGCAATAGAGCATAATTTAACCCATACACTCTGTTATTTAATATGGAAATCTATGAAATAGAGAAAAACCGAATCCCTAAAGAAAGCCCAACACGGCAAAATGGAAAATGGTACAGGCCCGGTTTAATTGAGCTTGTTCATGGAAGGTACTGGAAAGAAGTGCAAGTTACCATACACGCCCACTAGCACTGGCTGAAGCAGAAAAATGGTTAAATTTGGAATAAAGAAACATCTGCAGATGTCTTCATAAGGCGGTTACTATGAAACCTTCAATGTGACACAGAAGTGTCATTCCATGAATAGCGGCGTATGGTCCCCAGGTAAAGGAATGCGTGTGCTCTAAACAAGAAAACATAGGACATAGGACGGAACTAAATAAAATGGAATTTTGAAAGGTAATCTGAGTTTATGAATCCTGCATATCAAAAATAAGACGTCAAAAGACAAATTTAACAAGAGCTGTCGGTAGGACAGCACGCTCGACTATTCTAAGTGCTTGATAGTAAAAGAACCTTGATAATGTTAAATTTTTTAAGTTCACAAAAGGGCTAACTTTTTTTTATAAATTCATGTTATAGGCCTTAGAGAGAGTCTAATTATACAGTATTTGCTTGACTATTCGGAAGGTAATGTCACAAGGGTGTTTTATTGAGTATAATAATACTAATTACCTATGAATACATAAATTTGACAGAAAAGCTACAAAGGCTTGTTATTAAGATGTTGTAGCAAGTAGATCACTGCTTTATTATTATGAATGCATAAAATTGTCCCAAAAAAGGCACAAACCCTTCAGTAGTTATTGAGATAACAGCTTACAAGCAAAACTTTAAAAAAAGGGGAGAAAAATCAGCCTAAATGCAAGATAGAATTTTGGATCTTTGTCAGTGACCTACAATTATGACCCTAAATGCATATGTGAAAATTTAAATAAATATCTTTAATAGTTATTGAAATATGTAAAACTTGCATGAAAACATTAACCAAGAGACTAAATAGAAAGGGGAATATGAATCAGCCTTAATGCAAGACATACAATTATGACCCTCCAATTTTGACCCTAAGTGCATGTGTAAAGTTTCAAGTAAATATCTTTGAAGACCTTTAACCAAAATTTCTAAGTTTCAAAGGGGCAATTAATTCTGCAAATATTGCAGGCAGAGTCATGCAATTTTGCAAACTGATGTACATTGTTACTATAAAAAAGTATTTTAAATTTCAAATGAATATCTCAAGCAATAATTGAGATATTTGACTTTACAAAAAAATTTTAACCAAAATTTCTAAGTTTAAAAGGGGCATAACTCTGTCAATATTGTAGGCAGAGTTATCCAACTTGTCAATTTGATGTACCTTGTTACTATAAATAAGTATTATAAGTTTCAATTGAATATCTCAAGTAATAATTGAGATATTTGACTTAACAAAAAACTTTAACCAACGCAGACGCCGACGCGGACGCTGACGCCGACGCCGGGGCGACTACAATAGCTCTCATATTCTTTGAATAGTCGAGCTAAAAAGCAGGCAACATATCCTAAGGGTGATTATACTGTTTTCAGGTAGGAATACTGGAACCACCCAAGTTGAAAAGAAAATAGAAGAAACTAAAAATACAACATAACATACATGTATGCACAACAATAATGTCGTGCTGAACGATCTTTACGGATAAAAAATATAACATCTTTAATAAAATGTACGGGGATACTTTCTTTTACAACAGTCACACAGCACAAATTACACTGATAGAGAAAAACAGAATCCCTAAAGAAAAGCAACACGGGAAAACTGAAAATGATGCAGGCTTGGTTTGGTTGAGCCTGTTCAAGTTTGCTGATCACTTTCCCCTTACAACTGTTTATCCAAATGTGGCCAAGAACATTGGATAATTATTTCAAAATGGGAAAGCTACCGCAATGTCGGTGGTTATACTCATGGGTAATGGGCACCATAAGGAACTGTAAAATTGACAACACAGGACTGTTATATGTCTTAAAGGTCATCTATATGCAAAATTTGAATAAAATTTACCGCGTGGTTTATGAGTTATGGATATATTTCTGAACTAAAACTTTGCTATCAGACATGAGGAAACTATAAATAATCTATAATATCATCTTTATGAAAAATGTTTTCCTATTGCTCATTGTTAAGAAACAAATAATAACGTTTAGGTAACAAATAACAAGCAAAATGATTGTTTGTAAACAAAATGTTTTTCATGCATATAAAAATGTTACCCTTCCCACTTTTAACACTAATTTGACAATTTCCCTTTATAGAAAGCCTAAATCAAAATATCTCTAAAATTTACTCCAATGAGGGGCTGTTTTCAATGTTTGCCTACATTTTTTAAAGGTATATTGGTTGAACTTGCGAAATATAAAATACTTGTATTGTGTAGTATTATTTTTATTAAACTTTGAAAATATCTGGTATCATATTTGCTATTAAATTTGACAACAATTTGCAAATAAGTACTTCTAATAATTATATAACTAAAATCAAACACTTTTTTCTTCCATAAGGGATCTGAGAGATACAAAAAAGATGTTAAAAAGAAAAAAAAGAAAGAAAAAAAGTTGCCCAATCTGGGTTTTGAACCCTCGCCCCTGAATTTCAATTTAATTGACAAGTGACTCTATCCTATTTAAATATTCTTCAAAGTGGATGTAGTGCAATACCCATGGTCTACCTTAAGTTTATCGTCGTTTGAAAGTAATGAATGGATGGATTTTAGTAGTATAGAAATCGAGGGACGGCATTAAACTGATTTGTTGTAAAATTATTCTGGCACAACTGAAAACAAAATTCGAAATTGATATCATTTACACCGTGAATAATATCAATGAAGTAAGTAATTAGGCAACATAAATGGTTCATGATGTGAGAATACGTAAAATTTTTTTCAATCGTTTGCTCATTATCTTTGAGACATTTTGCCCTGCTGTCAAGCCGACCCGAAAACATTTATTTCTGTTCATAAGATCCTGATTAACCATTTCTTGTGCATGCTTCATATTCTATTTTATCACACACCCGTGCCGATTTTGCGACTCCGTAAAAATGGTATTGCACGGCCGTGCATATATTTTGACGTGACGTCATTAGCGTTATACAAACATAGTGTAAAGACGCGCTAAATGTGAGCGTTATACTATAGGCGCGTCAATGAAAAATGACTCTTATTTCACTTTAAACGGTCTTTATTTTAGGTATGTGATAAATAGAATATTAAATTCGTGTAAGTTTATTACTTAATTTATTGCACTTATTTGCGAATTTATAAATAACATACAATCGATGAAAATGTTGTTCTTCTTTTAAGAAAAGTTTAAAAGCTATTGTTTTTTAAGTTTCTACTATAATTATTATTTGTTAAACCCTGATTATATCAAATACATTAAACAAAACTATGTATGATTTTCTTGCATTACTGTAAGGTAACTTTAGAAGTGAGCTTCAAATACATGTATATGTATCAGCACTGTCCAAGAAAAAAAAAGAATTCCAATTTGTCAATTTGTTAACTCTGAATTCTTTTTTTAGTTTTTTCTCTGATTTACAAACAATTTTATATGCTTCACTATTTTTGTTCGATAATTAATATTTAAATCTTATTTTTCAGTATTTAATTTATTGCACTGAATTCTTTTCTTAATTATTAATATTTGTTTAAAGTTTTAATATGTTGATAAAGTGCACGCGTAAAATTTAACTTATGTACAATCAATTAGAAGATGGACTTAATTTACATTATCATTACCTTTAAAACAACAAAGGGTGTTTCTAGCATTCTGTATGTTATGTCATTGACCCTTTTGTTTTCCTTTGATATATTACCGATCTTTTCGCAAGTGCCTATTCTTAATATCTTTTTCGTTGATGTCCCTGAAATATAAATGTTTTTGTTGTTATTTTTTTTCCGAAAAAGTATATATTAACATGAATATGTCCCTTTCAAACATTGACCTTATAGTTAAAAAAAAATCCTTTCAATAAATAAAGAACGCTAAGGCCTAGGAACTACAAACTTGGTATGGTGATTGTTCATGATCAGGAAATGACCCTATCTATTTTGGGGTCAAGGGGTCAATGTCATATTGATCTTGTAGGTTAAAAAACGTTTTCCGATCGATAACTTTGACAAATCATAGGTTGTTGGTTCCCAAACTTCGCAAGTGCATTGGACTTGGCAAGTAGTTGACACTTATTAATTTGGGTCAAGCGGTCAAAGGTCAAAGGCATACTGACCTTGAAATCATAAAAACAGTTTCCGGTCAATGACTTGACAACCCATGGACCCTTGACATTCAAACTTCACAAATACATTGCTTTTGGTCAGAAGATGACCTCAATAGATTTTTGGGGTCAAGGGTTCTGAGGTCAAGATCAGATTGAACTTATAGGTAAAAATACTTTCTGGTCAATATCTCAACAACTCATGAGCCCTTTACCTTCAAACTTTACAGGTTCATTGGTCTGTGCCAGTAGATAACATCTATTGATTTAAGGGTCAAAGGTCAAAGTTACATTGACCTTGTACGTAAAAAAGGTTTCCGACCAATAATTAAACAACTCCAGTTGCCTTGGTTGATATTATTTATCAAACTTAAAATTATTTTAGTATAATCATTTCAAGGTCATAAGTAATATAACAAATTGGCAATCATCATTAAGGAGGCCTACACCATTCAAAACATTCAGCATATATTATTTGGTAAGATTTGTGATACTTTGTCATAAAATTGCTGCAAACAACCTTTGCAGTCACAATTACCTACTGTCTAGTCATTACAAATACTAGATAATTCCTATCAATTTTGGTCCAGTCATAATAACCGCAGAGAGGGGGCATACATGCTTTACAAACATATCTTGTTATACACTTGACTGAAAGCTAATAAATGTCATTATTATGGCACTAAGTACTACAAATGAACATAATTGCAGTGATAAGTATTCTTGCATAGAAACTGCAGATACACCAAAACGCAGCAGAAATAATTAACGAATAAAAGAACGCGAGTACACACCGTACGTTTTTATTACATTTACAATTTTGACAATATTTTAGCGTGATGGGTGGGCGGTTTATCGTTCAGGCGGGCGTCAAACATGCGGTTTCCGAACGATAACTGAATTTGGGAATGAAAAATTGAATCAAACTTGTTATATACCTAGTTTTACAACTGTTTTAGTTAACACTACATTAAATATTTTCTAGTGAAAACGTTATTTAACATAAGAAGTAACTGTGATATAAATGTTTTTGTAAGTTATGTCTAAAATAACGAGACAACCAATAACGATTACAAATTTGGAAACTCATATAAATAAAATACGGAAACTCCCCACATAAGAAACTCCGAATTCATCTTCATTATTCATAATGTAATACGATGGCTGTTCGAAAAGAATTGCTTATTGTCCTCTATCTCGTGATCTACGTGGGGCACGATAAAAACAAATACATACCTGTATAGGGTAATTCAATACCTACACAACGGCGTATAAATGTACATGTTAGACTAAGTTTAAGATATACAATTTAAAAACACGCAGTCATTGACCACTGTAGTAAAATTGATTGGTGAAAGCGTCGACAAAAAAGATGAAAAATAACGGCTTTACATCAAAGTTCGCTCAAAACACTGGGATGCTCTTTGAAGCAGTTGGAACTCCCGACTGCTTATGGGCCTTCTTTTGTGTCTAATGACACAGGCGATGTAAAAAAAGAAATTTATAAGTCTGGCGTAGATGTTGATCAAAAATGCACAAAAATCAGGTAGGCAAAAAATCTGCATCTCGTTACAAAATTGTTCCAAAATAAAGGATATCATTTGAGGAATGAAGGAGATACCAGATATTTACAGTTCGTGATATTGCACGAAAGGTAGGCACATCACTATCAACGGGTTACTTTATTTTCAAGAAGCATTTGAAAGTCAGAAGATTTCGGCTAGATGGGGTGCCACATCTGTTGACCGATGAGCAAAAAAGAGGCAACGGGTTATGGTGGCCAAAAAAGCTGTTTTCAAATGTTTTTTCAAAATATGACAAAAAAAACAGGTTTGCCAATTGTTCGTCACAGGTGATGAAACTTGAAGTCCATTATTTAGAGCCCGCCAGAAAAAGTTAGCGACAAAATCTTCAGGCCACTAAACACAACAAACGCCCAATAATTGCCAAACGGTCTTTGAGTGCAAAAAGGTTTTGCATGCAATTTTCTTTAATTGTGAAGGAGTCGCAATTTAAAGCTGCCGGTGAAAAAGTATCACTGGGAAGTACAACAAAAAAACTGAAAAAGTATTATAAGAAACGACGCCCTGTCACTGGTTTTATGCATACCCGTCTTCTACATGATAATGCCCCCTCTCATACCTCCGCAATAGTTTCGGCGTTTTTATTGAAAGAAAACGTAACTGTTTTACCTCACCGCCCCCCCCCCGTATTCTCCAGACCTTGCCCAATGTGATTTCTCTTTGTATCCGAAATTGAAATCCTTCCTTGTTGGGCGGAAATACAAGTCCCGACAGGCACTTGGATCTGCCATTCATCAGGATCTTATTCCTGTGCCCAAATCAGCGTACCATGACGCCATCAAGAAGTGGATACATCGGCTGAAACTTTGCATTTCTCGCCACGGGGAGTACTTTGAGGGCATGAAATGAACACTTTCGAGCTAACTTGAAATTTGAAGTCTCCAGATAGAAATAGGCAAAACATTTCGAACATACCTCGTATAACTATTGATGTATTCAATTAGTTTGAATTTAATGGTTTTATAAATGTATCTTTGCATATTAACAAAGTGCATATAAATATGTACATAAATACGTCATTGTAAGGTACAATACAGTTTCATTTAGACACGTATCTTACAGTGTGTCCGGGATCTAACCATTAAACGTTATGTCAATTGTAGTGAAATATTTTAAGCATCTGAAAATTTGCACAGGTAATAAGTATCATTTCTAGTCCAAAATAACCTAAGTATCCAATTAAACGCATGTTATTTTTGGCATTAAGATACTTCCTGTTTATCCTGTAATCAATTACTTCACAATATACGATATATCCTATATCATACAAATTTGTGTCTATAAAAATGGCATAAAAAGAGGAATTTATCTTGTAAGTTTTATCTACAAAGAGCTGTTTTATTCGCCACGGGTTAACCGATGTGATAAACAGCGGTGTTGATATCTCAAGTAAGGCATAACAGGTCACACTTATCTAATAGCTAATTTTACAATTATAAATAACTATATAGCTGTTTGAGATCCGTTTTGTATAGGAGAGCATCTATATTATACATAACTCAAATAGCTAACTCTAATGGCGTCCCCGGTATTTGCAAAATCAAATCAAAACTTACAAATTGCATCGCATTAACAAGTGAAAATGTATGACGAAAGCAATTTCTTTATACAAAAATAAATAACGAAACGCTGAATTACCTAATAAAAGGGGCGTCCTGGGCCCAGTGGTTTTAAGGGCGTTGCTTCAAATCACTTGCCCCCCACCCGCTTGGTTCAAATTCCCAAAAGGGCTTTTATTCTTTCATGCGAGGGAACTATCCACTACTTACGGGGAAATCGGTGGGTTTACTCGGTGCCCGTTTTGTTCCTGAAAAAATGCCGGAAGGGCACCTGAGTTCTTCATCCACCAGTAAAGCTGGAACGTCGCGATATGACTTATACTGTGTCGATGTGATGTTAAACCCAAAACAAACAAAGAACCTAATGAAACGTTTACTTTTATGCAAAAATTGGGCTACGTACTGCATGTTTGTTCGTGCTTTCACATCTGCAGACGCCTTTGGACTTATTTAATCCTCCAAACTGCGGATTTAGGCTTTAAATGTGCCCAATATTCTGCAGATGTTAAGCACGGAAGAAGGTGCATTTACACTGTAATGTAAACTCCGTTTAAAGAGTTATCCGGTTTTCGACAATTGTCGGCTTTCCCAGGTTATATCCGACAAACTTCTTACAAATAATAAAGTTTATTTGTTACGTGATCAGATAAAGTTAAGAAATAAAAATAGTCTTTATTATTTGGTAAACATTATGATATGTAAATAACATTAATTAGCCGTTTTCTATGCCAAAATTGTGTACATTAACTGCAAATTTCTTATTATGTCATAAACTTACTATGATTATAAGACATACCAATTTCTGTAATATTTGGAATCGGTCCAAATGAATCATATTCAAGACAGGATTCTTGTATTGCGTCTTTTCTAAAACCTGAAATAAAATAATGTAATCACATATTTTTAATTGTATATTTTCTATCCGTATCTAATAAACAAGGAATATACCTGTCAAGATTTTACAGGTTAAGTATACATCGATAAATAAAAAACAAATCTGCAAACAAAGATCATCTGCGAGGGATACAGATCATAGCCTTTAAAAGCACATTGACTTTTTTGGTGTTGTTTTGAAAAGTATTTTTGTTTAACACACTTGAAGACATTACTTATTTCAAGGACCATTTCTGATATTCTTTTAATGCAAGAAAAACTTATATCACTCTAAATTCCTAGGTGTGAGACAGATATATGCTCTGATAAAAAGGCCTGTAACTAATACAAGTATTGCAGTCACTTATTCATGATGGCCAACATCTACGAGGTTGTGTCAATATGTCATGCAAAATGGTCAATAAAGTAAACAAGCAAGCAAATATTTTACACTAAGTCTTTAATATTTCAGCACTGCAAATATTTTTTCCAACAAAAATAAAAAAAGTTTTAGACTTATAATACAATTTTAAATGCTTTAATATAGTCCTTTAACTGAATAAAATTGCCGACCAAGGCCAATTTCTACTATTGTAGTGATGACCTCCAAATTTTTATCAGTCTATGAAGTAGGAAAAAGTCTCAGAGTGAAATATTGTGATTGTTAATGATAAAACCCTCCTTTATTCGAACATAATCAATTAAAGTATGTAGCCCCTTTGTTTACCAGGAGCATTGTTATGAAGAACCAGAGAGACCTTTCATATCAGTCGAATGAGGTTCTTCAACAAAGTGTTTCTCAATTTTTCTAAACATAATATCTTACAATGCTTTGATATGACGGATTGGTATCTAGTAAAAGGGACCTGGACAACACTGCCAGGGTAATGAAATCAATAACGTACATATTTCATGACAATTGACAATCGCTTGCCTATGCAAGGTCCAACGGGGAATAAATCTAAACGTATTTTTACGTAAAAAATTAAAAAATTTATCACCGGTCATAAAAAATTTTTAATTTAAGGGAAAAATTTCAAGAAATTTTTTGAAAGCATTTAATCGCTCCTTCTTCTGGTA